GGAGCACCACTCCCTCTAACACAAATTTGAGGGCCTCTCATTTGATTTGAGCTTCTGTCTTCAAGCACAAGGCAAAAGGACACTCTCTCTGGAATATTTTGGAATTGAATTTATTGGCAGAGAAGCTGGTGCTTTTTGTGTGATTTCATTGAGAAACCAAATGAAGCCTGCGGGTGTTGGAGGTTGAATTCAGTCCTTTCAAAGAAGTTTGGCAAAATTGTAGTTTTAGTGGGACTGCATTTTGTGCTTTTTTTTTTCAAAAGGATCTGAGTAGCTACTGCAGTGCTTTACTGATCACTTCAGGGTGACACAGGTTTATCTTACCTAAAAAGAGGGTTGCCAAATCAAGCTTATAGAAAGCTTCCTGGGTATACATTGACGTAGTAGTGTTTGTATAAGTTTGCTGAAATAATATGAAATGTGAGCTTTCTACCTGGTAGATAAGGATTCTGAAATTTATCTTTTTTGAGTTTGAATCAGAGCATTTGAGAAAGACCAGGAGGGTCTGTACAGTTTATTGTGATTGGTATTATGTTAGCAGCATCATATTTGCATGACTTTTGCACCACAGCAAGTGCTTTACAGACTACTGACCAATTCTGTAATTTATTTTGATTCCTTGATTCATCATAAAGTAGATTTTTGGTGTTTCTGGGCTCTTTTGAAATCAAAACACAGATCTGAACTATCAGAGTGGTACAAAATTTGAGTACAATTTGCAGAAAACATGACTGAAATCAAAACATTAAGAACTAAATTTCAAACGGATACATATTTGGTAGTTTTCCTAAAGCAATTTTTTGCAGAGAAGTTGAACAGCTTAATCTCTACCAAAAACATGACCCAAGGGTCCCCTGGATCCCCAAAGCGTGGTGAATTTGCCAGGTTAGCTGGCATGTTGGTCTTAGATATGAAACCACAGCTCCCTGTTTAGGACGGAGAGAGCAGGAGACACCCCCCGCCCGCCAGGACCCTTGCCTCCTGTGAGAAAAGTTACACTGCATCTGGCGTGTGAGCCGTACATGTCTCTCCTTGTGACAGCTGCAGAAGCCAGGGGCCGTGATTTGAGGAGGGGATGCGGTTCTGGCAGCCTGGCGCTCCCCGGCACCGCGCACGGCTGTTCTTCCAGCGCCGGCGCGCCGCTCCTTACGCCGCTGTGCTGAGCGATTTCTCTGCATGGCCAGGTGATGTTTAAGGAGACTAATGAGAGGAATGATACGGCCCAGAACACTGGTGTCAGGAAATATATTGCAAGGTGTCTATCTTGGGCAAGCTGTAAGCGGGGCTTGTCTTATATATTTCAAAGGGGATGTCTGTGTCACCACCAAGTTAGACATTCACCCTGTCCCACACTGCATTTAAATTATATATTTTTTGTTCAAATTGTAGCTTTCCATTCAATTATCATTGGTTTAATGATAGAGTCTGTGTTGTACAGGGGCCAATCAAGAGTCCATTGCATTAGCACACCATTCTTTTGTGGCAGGAATTTGTTTCTGAGGCCATTGTAACATACCTATGCAAGCCTCAGAGGATGGGATGGAGGCTATTATGGGCTTCTGCTTTTTGTGAGGAAAATCAAACAAATGTCCCTGATGGAAATAGGAAAGCCAGCAGCTGGATGTCATGACCAAAGAATGTTTTTGTGCAGTGGCACTGTAATACCTGGTCTCTTATCAAACCAAAAAAATAAAAAAAGCCTTTTTTAATATTTTTTCCCCTTCTGCTATCAACTCAAGTGGAGAAACCCCCTCCCTTTGAATTTTCATGAGATGCCTTTTCCTTATTTCTAGCACTTAACAATCCAATTATATTTGGGTTTATGCTAGTATTTGCCTCTATTGTCGTTGTTAGGTTTTGGAATCAGAGCAATTTTTCCATCCTGATGGTGCGGAAAAAAATATGTTTCATTATGACTTGTTATAACCCTGGAAATCTTTTCTCTCGCTTGGGTTGATGATGATTTTTTATGTGGCACTCTACACTGATGCCTAAAGTGAAGTAGAATGAAGCATGAGGAAGAGAAGCTTTGCTGAAATATCGCTCCTTCCACTGTGTAGAATTATCTTGGAAGAAAGCTTGCTTCTCTCTGTTATGCTTTTTTCCCCCTACTATTATTCAAGTTGTTTTTACAAATGAATGTTGTTTTTGCAAGGTTTGTCTATGAAGCCATTGCACTTAGCAACCCTTCCTCACCTGTGAGCAAATTGCATGGCACAGATCAGGTATCCAGTTGTTTCTGGATAGGATGACCTTAAAAACAGACTCTGCAACAAGACAAGCTTTTTAAATTCCTAACCAAATATATTACGTGAGTAATAAAAAGAGCTCCTCAAAATGGCCACAGAGGCATTTCAAAGCACATTCCTGGGAATATTCACTTGTGCTAGTATTCATTAAGTTTGCTTTCAGCAGAAATTCTCATGAATGAAATTTTATTCAGTAGTCATTATGATTATTACTTTGCTATCATAGCAATAACCCGATGCTTTGTATAAGGCCAGGACCTGATTTTGTTTAAGGCTGGAGAAACATCTTACAGGGTCTCCAGAGAGTGTATTGTCTAAATATAAGACCAGGCTCGTCTAACAGCTCATGATTGGGAACAGCAAACCCTTAGAGGGCAATGGGTTTGTTTACAAGAAAATTCACAGCTAGAGAAGGATGGATGCAGAACTATAGCAAATGTTACACCTTTCGAGCTGCAGGAGGCTACAGGGCTACAATTCCACTGAATAGGAATGTAATTATACATTTTTATGTTATGGAGGTAGTTTAGGTGATAGTGGCTAGTCTTGCAGATAATAAAGAGACTGTCTCTACAGATGTGATTCATTACAACATTGAATTGGTTTATCCACACACTAATGAACACACTGGGACTGGACTCTCTTTTTTTTGTTTGTTTGTTTGTTTTGTTTGTTTGTTTTTTGGTTTGGGAGGGAGGTTTTTGTTTTGGTTGGCTTTCTGATTGGTTTTTTTTGTTTATTTTATGGGGTTTTTGGGGGGGGGATTTTTGGTTGTTGTTTCGGTTGGTTGGTTAGTTGGCTTTTTTAATTTAAAAAATGGCCTAATACAAATATATGTACCAGGGAAATCGCTGAAGCACAGGCTATGCCAAAGAGTTGGACTCTGAGTTGTGCAATACATGAACTCCCAGGACATGAATAAACTTCTCCTTCCTGGAAAAATTAAACGAGATTTTTAGCTATTCACAGCTGAAGTCTGCATGAAGTCTTGCTTCCTCCAATCTACAGGAACATAATGGAGCAGAGGTATCCTGTCATGCTGATGGGAATTGTGCCTAAGTCTAGGCACAAGGAAGTGTTTTCAGAGCTGCAGCTCATTTGCAGAGCACAATGTCTGTAACATTTTTGTGTGTGCCTTCAGTTACTGATGGAAAAGCACGTCTCCCATGCCTTGGAGGTGATTCAGTCTGACTGGTGAATGTGTAGAATCCTTCAGCAGACAGTGACTGGCACTGGCTGCTCTCTGGAGCAGTGATTTTTGGGCGTACCACTCTACAAGTTGCTCATGGGTACAAGGTACATAATGGAAAGGTTCTCTGGGGTGGAGAGAAGGAGCTGTTAAAGAGGCACTGTGCCAATCCCTTGTGTTATTCAAACCCCAAAATAACCATTCCTCTCTGCCTGTAGATTGATCAGAACAGTTTGTTGGCAGCAGAGCTAAGCACAGGACACTGAGTTTTTCTCCTGTTTTCTTGTCTCACTGCTCTCTTTTCCTATGTCGTGTGAAAAATAAATAATCTGATTAAGTCATTTGACATTTATAATTAATTAGTTCTTCTTTACTCTTATCTTGTTTGCCTGTCCTTGTCTCTGGGCCTTCTTTTTTCTACTTTATCTCTCAATCAGCAGATCCAAGAAATCATTTAAATGATTTACTTTTAACAGATAAATACAGTTTACTGCATATTCTTTTCATTTGAAGAAAAGTTTGGTCCCTTCTTTGTCCATCCCACTGCACAAGTTGTCATGTTCTGGCAGTGAAGTCACTTCCAAGTCCTTGAGCTATCATGTATTCTGTTGGTATTTGAGGAATTGAAAATCAATCACACAGCCTTATGGCTTAGGTCCAGCACAATTCTATTATGCCCACTCGCAAAAGTCAATTCAAACCTTTTGGGTTATATTTCAAAGCCTAATCAAGCTTGCTGTCCACGCTGGTTTGGAGTCAGCTCACTCTTGGCCATAGGTGTGTTTATTAAAGCTCTTGTGTCAGAAACTAGTGTGAAAGAAAGCAGTTCTCATAGCACTAGAATCATTCAGTGGGCATTTTGCAAAGACAAACCAGCCAAACGGGTTTTTTGGTAGGGGAATGTTTACTGTTTTAATATGGTTCTGCAAGTATGTTTTTAAAAAGTTGTTTAAAAATAGGCTGTCTTGGTGCAGGTGTTCATAACTGTACCTTCTCATAAAAAGATGTCCCAGTTTACTGAGATTCGATTTCAGCCCTGTCAGGCTAAGCTGGTACAGAAAGTATTGTAGATGCAATCCTGAAGTTAGATGGTGAGTTCCATGCTTTGGACCATCTGAATGAACGAGGATGGTGCATCCAAGCAGATGGACCAAGCGTGATTTGTGCTGCCTCCATCTGGCAGGTGCACATGGGGCCTGCATGTGCAGCATCCATGTCAATCCCCTGATTCCCAGCAAGTGCCAAGAACTCAGCCTAAGAATAAAAGAAGCTCTGTGCAGAGCTGGCCCTTAGCAATCCTCTGTGAAGGATACATAACACACCTGTTGTGAACTGGGGGCAGATTCAGTCTCGTCTCACTGGAAGAAGGCAATGACAAGCTGTTAGTTACGGCATTTCCAGCTGATTTATAGAAGCCTCCTCATTCGGTGAAAGGCTGGTGGCTATTCTGTAGGAGCCAAGCATGCACTATTAATAGAAAGCAGGTCTTTGCTTCCATCCCCCATGGAAGGCATTGCTCTGTGACCCATCCCTCACGTTCCTTGTCCCGCTGTGTTCTGCAGAGGCGCAGAGATTTTCTCCAGTGGATGCTTGACGCCTGCGACTCAGCCGGGTGCTCGGCTGTGCTCGGCCCATCTGCTGCTCCCACACAGCACGAGGCGCCTCTGGCTGGCACGGCCCCAGCTGAAAAGGCTCAGAAGGCACTAACAGAGGATGAGATAGCAGGCCAAGCTTTCCTGTTCCTGATCGCCGGCTATGAGACCACCACGAGCACGCTGTCCTTTGCCACTTACTTGCTGGCCACCAACCCAGAGTGCCAGGAGAAGGTGCTTCGGGAGGTCGATGAGTTCTCTGCAAAACACGTGAGTATGATGTGCTGGTCTGAGGCTTTGTGCAGGGAGCAGGGCAATGTAAATGTATCCACGTGAGAGATGACTTAGAAACTTTGTGTCATAGTGAATGCTTAACCTTTAGAAAATATTTTACATTATTGAAATCAATTATTGTCAGGCTCTAAAGCTACATGTTTCTATTTTTTTTCCCTGTTGTATAAATGCTTCTATTGTTTTTGTGGTCAATTTTATTTACTGATCTTTGTAGGAGCATAAATAGTGTTCTTACAAATCATGAACTTCAAAGCTTTGTTTTAAATGTTCATAATTTTTTTTATCTAGCAGAAGAATATATGTGTAAGCTTTCAAAAAAAGCCCCATGGTATCTAATTCTCTTATCCTGTGTTCAAATTTCTTCTCCTTCACTATCTGTATCTGCCAATGGCATTTTTGTTTCTAGGAGCTGGAGTTATTTACTTGTTTCTTTCATATATGGCAGGCCTAATTGTACCCTCGTGTCTGGCAAGTTCAGCTGACTTCCTTAAGGCCTGCCAAGATGTGAAGGTGCAACTTAGACTGGAGTATAGGGAGTTTACTGGGTAATGCTGGGGGCAGAGTTGCATACAGAACCCCCTACTGTGCATCCCCAAGGAAAATATGGTTAATCTTCTCATCAGTTCCTGAAAGCTGACAGCCTAGGAAACCAAAGGGAAATTGCTGGGAGAGCTATCCTACAGGATAGGTGTGTGATGTTATTCATATTTCTCTGTAGATGGGGATGTGAAATAGTAAACATTCCCGTGAAAGTGTGTAGAAATCTGAGTGCAATCAGTCATTAGCTGGTTCCTTAAGTATATTCCACGCAGGGAGTCCATGCACATGGCCAAGTTTACATGACAAAGTAGTGTGCTCCTGTAGGCACGATTCATCGTCCAGCACAGCTGGTAGTGGGGGCTGTTGGGTACACACTCTATGCACCTCAGGAATTTTTTCTGGGGTAGTTAAAGTCTAGCTCTGTGTTTACCAGATTTCCCTAAGCAGTTGGTCTGGTCCAGTTCCAGTTAAAGGAGCCCTTGCTGGGCACTTGGAGACTGCAGTGTGAGCCAGTGCAAGAGATTCACATGTGAGTGTGATTCTGATTCAAGCTGGAGAACTAAATGGACCCTGGCTTGTATATGGTCTGACTGAGCTGGCACTCCCTATTACTAATGTTTCAATAATAATCAAATTGAAATGCTTAATTCTTAACTCTCTTGGTTGAATATTTTGCTAATAATTTCAACTTTTGCAATATCTAGGAGAGGCTATGAAGCTAGGGACACTTGTGGCAGAGAAGTCATTGCAGAGAGTTGGCACTCAAATTAATTTCTGCTCTGTACAAAGTCTGTGTGCCTCAATTCAAACTGGTGTCCTCATTCCAAACCATGCTGTCCTATGTCATATATTGATTGGAAGTACCTTTCAAATAACTTCCCTGTGCTTTATGAGTTGTCAGGTTTAGCTTTAGATGGTACATATATGGCTGGATGGCCAAGGAGAAGAGAGGGAGAGAAGGATAATGATTCATCTGCAGTCCCTGATAACAGGAAATTTGTAGATCTGTGCAGCCCCATCCTTCAAAAGAGTTCCTTTTATAAACAGTTCATGATTTGGCAGGGGGGTGGGAGGGGGCAATACACTGCTCAAGGAGCCAATCCCAGAATAAGGAAAAGAGGGCAGCGGTTCAGTCCCCTTAGTGTCTGCAATTAACTACTTTTAGCCTAGAAAATGAGATCTATGTGAACGGTTTGCAAGTTATGGGAGCAGAAGCTATTTTAGAACTGGGTATATATAGATGCTGTGTTCAGTTGTCATGCAAGAGAGAGGAAGGGAGGGGACAGAAGCTACAGGCTCACAGTTAGTTATCAAGTCAGTTGCTAAGAAATTTGATTAGGTTATTGCTTTTACTCAGCTCATCAGCTTTGCTCTTATCAAGGTGCTTTGAAATTTTCAGAATGGAAGGGCTTTAGTAGGCCAAAACATAGGGAATAGTACAGTCAGATTGTTTTTGACATGTGGTGGAAGACTGTTTTGATTTGCAGATGTGCAAGTATTAAAGACGGTACCCTCTTCAGCCAAATTTATACTCAGGTAATTATAACTACAAAATGCCCTCCACCACGTCCCCCTTCTGTCCTCCATCCATTTCAGTTGCCTGATGCAGCATGTTTTATTGCCCTAATCTGTGGTGTGGAGCTGCAGTCTGATTTTATAGCAGCTGCTGTGTATCATCCCAGAGATGATTGTACTTTGGTAGTGGACGAGTGATTTATATACTTATTTACCAAAGTTTATAAAGACATGTGAGAGCCATCTGAGAAAAGGTGCTATAAATGACAGGCACAGTTCCAGCTCTTTGGCACACCAGTCAAAAACACAAAGCATGGTCACCTTGTAATAGCCTTTAATGGAGCCAGGTTGGTCCACCTGGGCAGACAGCTGTATTTTGGTGGCTCTGAGTGTTGTACTTGAGGACACCTCTGCCTTTGCTGTGATCTTAATTTATCTGTCTTGCACAGTGGGTACATTGTGGAGCATAAAGGGGGTGGAGAAAGCTGAAGCGCTGCTGTGTTAGAGAACCCTGGGTGGGCATGGTGCAGACTGCTGTGGCGTGGTGCAGAAATACAAAGCTAGGTGTTGGAAGTGTCTAGTCCCAATGCTGGGAGTCAGATTCCCAGAGGAGAGACAGGTCCATATTATCCTGCTCTGTTGTGTCCAGCCAACTTTGTTTCAGAGTTGTCTTGGGAGATCTCACTGCCAATCTCCACCATACAGCCTGTGGAGATGGCACTTCCAGGTAAGTGCCATCAGAAAACAGTGTCTGAGTGAGTCACAGGTTGTCATGTGTTTCTTTTTACCTCCAGGACCATCCTCATCTGCTTGTTGAGGGACTTTTTAGGTCTTTCCTTGACTGATAGCTCAGTGTCGAGGCTTCATGGTGTCTCTTTCTCTCAAAGTGAGAAGAGGTACTTGGTCCATTTTAGAGTCTGGTAAGCAGGAGAATCCTCTAGCTCGGTTATTGTAGAGGGCAAGACATTGCCTCCTCACCTCTATCTGGGTCTTTAGGGTATAGGAAAAGGGCATGCAGAGCTTTTAATCTTTGGGGTAGCAGAGAAACAAAATACTGAGTGGTGATTTCTTGTCACGACACGCTGCATCTTCCCATTCTACTTTTGAATCCCTGTGTGTGCTCCAACTGTACTGGAAAAGACAAGGATAATTCTTCTAACACACAAATAAAAATTCAAATTATAGAGACTTTGACCTGACACTCTTCATAAATCCCTTGGGAGTGTAGTGTATGCCCTGTGAAGGGCAATCTGCTAAAAATAAGATGCACCTATTTGCTGCAAGCTTGTTGCTGGGTGTGCAGCTTGCTTTGATACCATGAAAGCAAAATAAACAAGATGAAAAGAGAGTTAAATATGAACTAGTGGGGGCAGGACGCCTACCTCCATGTCTGTATAAAATAATATTACTTTCTGCAGAGACCACAGATCTGGGACAGCAGAGAGGGGTCAGATCCTCAGATGGGTTAAACTGGTACATGTTTGGTATTAGTACAGGTATGGTGATATGCATCAGCTGAGAAGCAAGCCTGGTATATACCAGTACAGGAGGGCATGGGGAAAAAAAAAGGTTACTATTTCAAGACCAGATTATTTTTACAGTGTTTGTGGCTAACCATCCCTGAACTGTTAGAGGCTATACAGTTGTGAAAGAGATGCTTTTTATCCACGTTCACCAAGTGAGAAAGAATGCACCCATGGTCTTCACCCTCTCCGTTTCAGTCAAAAATGATCCCTGTGCAGAGTTTTTAAAGAGCCCTTCACAAGATATATTTAGGAACAGTTTTTACACATGTGACTGATTATTTTTTTGTAAAAACAAGTTGATTTTTGTTTGTGTGTGTGTGTGCTTAGCAAGACCTTAGCAAGCCTGGAGCACAAATTCATTTTGAGCAGATGAACACTTGCTTCTGAGTGCCACTGTGTACTCTGAGCTGCTCTGTGTGTTATGTCCTAAGCCACAGAGTTCAGGGCATGAAAAATTGCATCTTCCAGAATTGCTGGGGATTCCCTTAATGTGGGTCTTCTTTTTTTTTTACCTCTATTCCAATTTTAGCATTTAAATGTCTCTCTCCCTTCCTTTACCCTGCTCTCAATCCTGAATCACTCACAATTAGAAATTATTTTTTGTTGTTGTTTTACTGGACAGCATAATTTTAGACAGGAAGAGTAGTGGCACAAAACAGAGTGCAAAAACATAGGTGACTTCAAGCTAACTTCTCATAAGAAGTTATTTGTCACCCTGAGGTGAAATGTGATGAGTTGCTGTAGGTATGTGCTCCTGATCTGTTGCAAAGTAAACACATCAGGTTAAATCAATTAAACTAGGTCATTTTCTTGAGCGGGGGAAACAAGCATGCTTGGAGCAGCTAAGGAGGGAAAAAGAGGTATGAGAATGATCTTCTCTGTCTCCATGCAAAAAAGAAATCCATACTTGATGGTGCAGAGCATAGAAAAGCCTGGAGCAAGAGCTCCCTGTTTTCTAATCTCACCTTCAGGAATAATTTACTGCATATTCTCAGTAGTAGACAACCAAGCCTTGCATTAACAAATGGGTAGACTCGATGCTATAAGTTTGAGGGTTTTTAGCTCATATCTATACAAACCTGTGGTTACTTAAAGCACCACAGGAAAACATTGCATTGAGCATTACAGAACCTGAGATGTGTTGCTGCACAGATATATAAGGCTTCAGGTTTGGTGAAGAACGGAGTAACAGCTCACTACTCGTTGCTACTGATGCCTAGGAATACTTTCAGGAGCCCTGACAGAGGTGAAGGAGAGCACAGGAGTCAGGAGAAGTAAATAAAAGTGAATACATGAAAGAGAAGCTATTACCATAAAACATTCATTGGAGACTGCAAGACTAACTGTGTTTTCCATTCTATTTTAGAAAAAGCTTTGTACTACTCATCACTGCTTGATATGACATTTAGAAACATCAGTGTGAGAGGAATGAAGAGCAGGATAAGACACAGCATGTCTCCACTCAATCAAATTTCATATCCACAAAGTACTAGTGTAACAATTCAGTGCTAGTGTGACTTACCAACATTTTCACCTCTGTCTAGAGACTGTAAAGTTTAAAGAAACTTCCAAGTCCTGTCTTACTCTCTCTTTATTTAAATGGAGACTTGGAGATTCTTCTTTGCTATAAAGACATCTTCCTGTTCCTATAAATACTTTTTTTGTATAGCTTTAGGGACCAGAAATATTTTCAATATGTTTAATTGAAAATGTTGACAAGACTGTCTCATCTGTATTCTTCCATGTCAAAAATATTGAATGATGCTACTCCAAAGTCATTGCAATCCATAGATTCGTTTATGAAAAAATACTGTTTAATTCCTTTTTAACTGCTATGTGTAGTGAGTTGTGAATAACCAGATTGAACTGGACTGATGCATAAACTCCTCATTTATGATTGATGATTTTGGTGCTGTAATTCATCAGACATACTGGGTGTGGCAGTTGCTCATCTAGGGTAATCACTGACTTGAGTGGAATCATACTAAGCTTTACACTGGATTATGATTCTGTTCTTCATATTGAAAAGCCCCTTCATTAATACCTCTGCAGTCTAATGGAGATGTCTTACTGAAAAGAGATTTTGCCATTTCAGAATTTTCCATTCCCATAAAATTTCTAGAGCAGAGCAGAGAGAGGTAGGACCATTTTTATGGTGTCTCTGTGTCTGATTGAGTACTTTAGACTTTTAAGCAGTCTATGCAGAGAGTCTCCTTGGTAGCACAGACGGTTTTCTTTGAGCATTAGTGAAAATGAGAGGTGAAAGTCAGAGAGATGTCACTGTCAGGGAATTACTACAACAATTTGCATGAGTTTGGTGCCTTTCATGCAGTATCTCAAGGCACTGTGCTCTCAGAAGCTTGCAACTACAGAGACTAAGCTTCACTAAGGAAATATTGCTGACGGTGAAAGCTTGCATTTATCATGGGAGACTGAATTGTAAATAGTGTGCAGAAAAAAGTCTACAGAAGAGAGTTGCTGTTACACATACACACACAAAACATACAGAACCAGGAAGCACAAACAATATTTTGTGTTGTTGCTGTTTATTCTCTTGAATGAAATGACACTCTTTGATTTCTCTATTTGTTTAAAAAGGTGTTGCAGAGCCTCACATCATTTATGAATGTCAGTTGTTGGGAATCAGTTTTGCTTTAAACAAATAGAGAGATGCTTTTAAACGTGTAGAGAACTGAGAGCTGTTAGGTTATATTTCTGCAGTTCTTCATGCAGTTGCTCAGTATCTGAAATCAGTTATTTATCTTGGTCCCATAGTGTTTCTGTACATACTGGTCAAAGGTTGCTAGGTTAGGAGAAGACAATAAGCCTTTCGTCGAATTTCTCCTCTGCTGTAAGTATCTAGAATATACTGATTTGAAATGGAGGCTTTGGGCTCAAGAGACCCAAAATCACTTCTCTTGGGCGGAGGTTATTTTGGCTTCTAACTCTTCCAGAATTTCAGCCTCTTAAGCATCTTTGAGACTCAGGGCTTTGTCTCTTTATCATCTCGAGTCTCTGCTGTATAGAGGTATCCTGAGAAAAGTCATGAGTCCAAGCTTGCCAAGTGTTTGTCCACTTTGCCCCAAGCCTGTTCCTAGGCTCAAATGCTGAGGGGAAGCACCGAGGTGGAAAAGCTTGGGCTCAGTTTTCTCACTGTGCAAGCCTTAGCAGGTATCTCTTTGCACAGGCTGCTTTCCACCCCAGGCACCCTATCCGCAGTAGGCAGAGAAGTTGTCCTGGAGGCCTGTCTGGAAGATCCCTGTTGCTTGTTCCTGCTTTACAGAAGCTGTGCTTTGTAGGCAGCCGCAGTCCCCCTTTGGCTGAAGCATGAACAGGCAGGGAGGGCGTGACAAGCCAGGAGCCACATGAGAACAATTCTTCTTGCTTGCCATGTATTTGTAGTTCTTATACTCTATCTACAGATGCCTGCTCTGCAAAGGAGATAAAGACTTTCAAAGACAGCAAAGACTTTCTGGAGTGTCAGCTTATTTATGATATGCAAAGAGTTGAGTTAATCAATTGGCAAGTCAAGGTATCTTTTAGGAATGATTTGGCTTTGCTGTTTTGAAAAGTCTACAGTTCGCTCATAGGAACAAATTCCACATTTTAAACACCAGTGGTATCTTGTCATTGTCCTTTTTTCTTGACTTTTCCAAGCTTTACTTCTTTCCTAGGAAAATCCTTTTCACAGCTGAGATTGGGTGATTCTATGTGGCCTGGAATAAGGTGTTGTTGAGATGATTAATGTACTTTTATTTCAAGGAACTTCTTATTGTTGTTGACATGCAGAGTTCATTTACCTCTTTTCACCTAAGTAAAAGAAATAAAAAAGGAAAAAAAATACCCTTTTATTTTTTCATTTGTTTAGGCCTATCAGTCTCTTGCCCACGAAGATTAATTTGTCTTTTGCTTGCAATATCACATGTTGCTCAGTGACTCTGCCTTATTGCTATTCTTGAGCAAAACTGAGTCTCAGGTAATGTATGCTAAATAGATACTCATTTTCACCTCTGAATTTTTTTGGTATTTTGCCATCCTGATAATAATTGACCCACTATCACTGCTTCAGAGTTCAAGTTAAAGAATAAATTTTTCTAGTGACATGGAACATTTAATGGTGAAGATGTTAATAATGCAGCACTTTAAATGTGATTAGACAGATTTGTTTAAAGAGGAAGTAAAGGAAAGGATGCATCTCCCATTCCTTCTATTCCTTGTCCCCCTCCTTTCTCCTGTTACATTTCAGGCTTTTATGGAGAAAAGAGTATATTTGCTTTTAATTTAAGGAAAAAAATCACTGCTGAGCAAGAAACTGGTCACAATTTTCTTCAGGATTTGTATCCCAACTGCTCTTGTATATGGTGATTAACAAACTTCCTCCAGGGACAAAGTAATACCAATGTCCAATCAATTTTTATATTCATATCAGTGTTAACCTTTAGCTGCAGATAGGTAACATCATTTGCAGGGTGGAACATTGTCCCAAGTAGAATTGGTAGATCAAATTTTTGCACTGGGCAGTTGAGCCTAGTAGAAGGGAGCAAGGAGATAAGCCCAAACCACAGAAAATATCACCACTGCTCCTCTCCATGACATTGGGAGGGACATACTCTCACCAGGCTAGTCAGAGGAGTTACATATGGTAGGAAAAGAGGTGAACATGCCATGACTGCTCAGGAATGGGGACACCTTCACAGGTGTTAGTGCCTGTTCTTTGAATGGCAGCCTGCCTAGCCTTCAGAGTTTTTCAATGTGAAGTAGGGGTCAAGGTATTGTACTAATTTTTGTTTTTCTCATGGATGTTAGGCACTAAAAGTTCCCATAAGTTATTGCTGCTGTATCATAAATACTTAGCAAAGAAAGAGAACAGCTACCAATAGACACAACCTCAATGCAAAAAAATCAGAGAAGCTAAACCACCTGGCTCTTGAAAAGACTTACAAATGAGAGAAGTTGGCTTTGGACATCTGTGTCAGGACCCCACACTGTCTCTCAGCATTAGCAGCCAATTGCATTCATCAGGAACTTGTTTCCTGGGAAATATTAAATACTAAGCTAAACAGAAAAGCATATTCAAGCTTTATGCTAGTTAACATTCATTTGGGATGAGATCCCTCTGTGTCCCCAGACTGACAGGCAGATTCTTCAGAGCATGAAGGTGTTGACCCAGCCCTGGCATCCTGGTCTGCTGCAGGAATCTCCTCTGAGCTGTCT